TCTGAAAGTGCAAACTTTGTCTTCAGAGGACAGCTAGGCTTCAGATAGGAAGTTGGAGAAGCAGGCTATAGGGCAGTATGTTTTCAATGAAACTGGTGTTATAGAGAATAGAATGGAAAGGAGTAGGAAAGCGATTATCTGTGGGTCAGCTGCAACAATACCAGAAACAAAAGGGAATGTGTATAATAGTATAATCTAGGAACAGATAAGGATCATGGTTGAATAACATGATGAACATAATTAATGTCACTGAAGTGCAGATGTGAAGATTGTCAAAATGTGAAATGTTTTGCAACATATATATTTACCACAATTTTAAAAAGGGGTGGGGGGTGTGGGGGGGAGGAGAGAAAAGGAAAAAAAACACCAGAGGATGGGAAGAGAGAGTAGGTTCTCTGAGGATGTGAGACGAGCTCAGGTCCAAAGGTTATGATGTCTCAAAGACACCTCATCTCTGGTAAGCTCCAGGGTAAAGAGTACTCTAAACTAGGCACTCTTCCTAGGTTATATAGGTTAGAAATCTAAATGTATTTAATGGTATCTCCTCCCTTCTGCTCCATATCCAACTATTCTATAAGGGTAAGGGAAAGGGAAAAACATTTTAGGCAAAGGATACAACACATACAATGATCCTATATTCAAAGAACCTGGTGCATTCTGGAATCTAAAGGCCTTGGTATAGAGAGAAAGGGGGCTATAGTATGAAGTCTTGTAAGCCATTTTAGGAATTTGTTCTTTATCCCAGGAGTAATGGAAGCCATTGACAAGTCTGAAGCAATCAGATTTAGGCTTTGAAAGAACAATCTAGGTGTAGAAGTGAATGCCTCCAATACAGAGATTAAGCTAATAAGAACTGGTGATAGCAGTGGTGGGAATTCTCTCAGCTTAAGTTTGTTATGAATGACCTAGTGGAAAGTGAAAGGTTGACTTTATAGGAGAGAAAATAGCTACAAGAAAAGGTTATATAACAGTTAGTACTGCCCTTAGACCTGGTAAGGTGCTCCTGTCTATTCTGGTCTTCCTCCAGTTACAAGCAAGGAATCCATGGAGTCACTGGGGTCATGAATTTTTCTTTGAGATTGGCTACATGGAGGAGCTTAAGTCCCCACTTTGATGACTAAGCCATTATTTTCCCTCACCTCATAAGCGAGTGAAAGCTGAACAAGGAAAAATAAGACTCTAGAATTGATGCATCTGACTTATGGTGCTGGCAAAGAATACTGACTATACTACCGACTCCTAGAGGAAAGGACTAATCAGTCTTGGAGGAAGTACAGACAAAACACCTCTTAGAAGTGAAGGTGGTGAGACTTTCTCTTGCTTTGGACACATAATCAAGGGAACCAATGGTTGGAGAAGGACAACATGATTAGCAAAACAGAAGATCATTGAAAAAGAGGGAAACCCTTAAATGATTTGGATTAACACAGTGGTGACAACAATGGACTCAAACAGAAAGGACTGTGAGCCTGGCACAGGACTTGGCAATGTTTTGGTCTGTTGCACATGGGGCTGCCATGAGTCAGAGCTGACTCCAATGCAACGAACAGATTTGAGGGCAGACTGAGCAGCAGATTGCACATCCCTACACTGAGTGGGGGAGGGCACGGATGGCTCAAAGATTCAGAGTTCAGCTGCTAACCTAACAACCTCTCCTCAGGAGAAAAGACCCAGTCTTCTGCTCCCGTAAAAATTTCAGCCGAGAAGCACTAGGAGCAGTTCAACGCTGTTCTACAGAATTGCTATGAGTTGGAATCTTCTAGATGGCACACAACACAAGAATGTGCAGGGAGGCAAGGTGAGTGGACGTGCACTTGCATGTAAACATTGCCCTTACATGGATGGCTCTGCTTGGGGGGTGCATTTAGAAGTTGGAGGTGAGAAGAGAACGGCATCAGTCGTAGGAGTCTGAGGAGGTATGAAAATTCTAAATTTAAACGTAACCTTCCAGATCATTATGAAAATGGATTTGTCAAGGAAGTACAATACACCATATTTTATATAATCTTCATTACAGTGATTTATAACAAACATTTAGACAGGTGGTATGTGCGCCTCCATAGCCACGCTCTTGCCAAAGCTCTGCAAAGTTAAGTCTGGATCTGATAACAGTGTACAATAGCGTAAAATACTGCAATTGTTGTTGTTAAGTGTCATCTATCTCATCGATCGATTCCGACCCATAGCAACCCTTTGTAGGATTTCTGAGGAGCGGCCGGTGAGCTTAAACTGCCTACCTTGCAGTTCAAACTGACTTTGCTGTCCAGTACATTAACCCACAGTGCCACAAATCTACAAAGGGAAAAGCACACTTTTTCTGTGTGACGGATGTGGGAATAAATGGTGCATATTTTAAGGTACTGTATTGTTGTTAAGTGCAGTCTAGTCAGTTCCAACTCATAGCAACCCTGTATGGGGTTTTCAAGGAGCACCTGGAGAATTTGAACCACTGAGCTGTGGTTCAAACCAACGTTGTGGTACATACAATGCTTATCCTACCTACATTGTAGTTGTTAAGTGTCTTCGAGTTGGTTCCAACTCATAGCAACTCCATGTAGCATTTGAGGAGCAGCTGGTGAGTTTGAACCACCCACTTTACGGTTCAAACTGACCTTGCAGTCCAGTGCTTTATCCCAAAGTGCCACACCAGGACTCCTATACTACATTGTTGTTAAGTGCCATTGAGTCCGTTCCAACTCATAGTGACCCTGTACAGGGCTTCTGAGGTAAGCTTGAACTATTGACGTTATGGTTCAAGCCGACAATGTGCTTGAGTGCTAATCCTACATTAATTAATATAAATTCTAGCTCTGACACAGATAAAAAGTTATACAAGTAAGATGCTATTTTAATTGCCATGGTCTCAGGGTTATTTTGAAAGGCTTCTTGAATATGGCAGGAAGGACACTGGTGATCATGTTAATCAGATCTATTCACTAAATAGATAAGAAATCATAGGTCCTGACAGGTAAATCACCTTGACTAAGGTCACAAATCTAATAGTGACCCTGCACAGGGTTTCCGAGGCTGTAAATCTTTACCGGAGCAGAACGCGTCATCGTTCTCCTGCGGAACCATTGGTAGTTTCGAACTTCTGACAGTGAAGTTGGCAGTCTAACTCGTAACCACTATGCTACCAGAGCTCCTTATGAGTAGCACAAAATTTCCTCCGATCCTCTGTTCATTCACCCTTCAATACTATCTTTTCTAATTACATCTGTTGCCAGTGAATTCCAATTACAAAGTTTTCACTTGCTTTCAAGGTTATATGTTGAAGTAAATACTTTCATTATTTTAAAAAAATTTAAGGCATTTAAAAGTAGTGTAGTGGTTACGAATTGGGTTCAGCAGTTTGAAATTACCTGCTGTTCCGCGGGAGAAAGATGAGGCTTTCTGCTCCCCTAAATGTTTACAGCCTCGAAAACCCTGTAACAGGGTCGCTATGAGTCAAAACCAACTCCCCGGCACACCACCATCACCAAAAATAACTAAGTCTAAAACCCAATTTTACAGTTTGACTTCAAAATTTTCTAAAAAGCAAACAATCAAAAAAAGGGAAAACAAATAATTCAATTTCTTCAAGTCTTCAAAAATGAATATTACTAAAAGGTTAATTTTAACAGTTTCCTGAAATTTACACGCAACTTCGGGCTCCTTTTAGGACTAATAAAAGCTCTTCCTCCTGTTAATCTTCGGACTTGAGGACTTTTAATTTGAAAGCCATTTCTTTGGGCTTTCTGATTTCCTATGAAACCCTAAGAGTTAAATTAAAATCCTGCTCTCTCACGTTTATTATCTTGATTGCGGTGAAGGTTTCATGGGTACATTCATACGTCGAACTCATCAAAATTTAAATATGCGCATTATTGTATATCATTTATACATCAATAAATTAAGGTATTTTTCCAAAATCGTGTACCCTGCTATGATTATTGCCACATTACACTAACCCATCTCCTTATTTTCAATGCTAAAAATCAAAATACAAAGTATACAAAACATGAAACAGTCAGGATATTAAAGAAACTGACCCACAAGGTCGGCGGTTCAAGCTCAACAGTGGCTCCTCGAAAACCCTATATAGGTTCGCTATGAATAGGAACCCACTCGATCAATGGCACTTACCACCACCAACAAAAACAGCAAAACTTGAAAAAAAAATCTTGTTTCAAAAACCTGTAAATATATAGCTGAGGGAGTTTTCTTAAAGAGTTAGAACGATAACAATTATAATATTTAAACCCTCGTCTAGTAGAGTTCAATTATCATAGTTTAAAAAAAATTTCCAAACATAGTTTAAAAAATATCTCCAAACACAAGGTAAAGCTTACCTTTAAGATCGGAGGTAATCCGAAAGTTCTAGGCTTGCAGGAAGCTACCTCCCACAAAACATTAGAGGTGACTTAACTAACAGTAAGGTTTCTTGTCATCTCACCAAGTGGTTTTTTAGCCCCTCCTTTCAATCAGCCGCTGCCTAGAAGCAAGGAAGGAAGGAAGGAAGGAATTCCAGACACAATTTTCTCCGCGGAGTTGATCACCCCGGAAATCCGGCTTTCAATGAGCGCAGAAACAGCGAGGGACCAAAGTGGTCCCTAAGACGGGAAAGAGAAAGTATTATGTATAAGATAAAGTCGTCGAGTAGAGATGAGCGCGACCCGGATCTGGCAGACTTGGGGTCCGAGGTGGGGGCTTCTTCCAGGACTCCCGCCAGGCACCCGAATTCTTCCTGGCGACATTTGGAAGACCCTCCTCTCGTAGCTCACTGGGCCACTCGCACCTCCCTGCGGAGCGCTGACCTCCAAAGCAGGTCCGCTGGCGGTCCCGCCCCCTCGGTCCCACAGTAGCGCCTTTGGTTCCTAGAGCAATCCCTCAGTGAGGCTCGCCCAATCGAGGGCCCGGCCGGTGGGCCGACCGCCCCGCCCCTGCCCCGCCCCTCGCGAAGAGCCCGCCCATGCCCCGCGCCCGGGAGCGGAGGAGAGTAAATACAACAGGAGCGCAAAATGGCGGAGCCGCGGAGTCCAGTGCACGGCACCGCAGCTACCGCCACCGTTTCGGAGAAAGAACCGTTTGGCAAGCTGCAGTCCCCCTCCGGGGATCCGCCGAGCTCTCTGTCTGCCAAAAAGGTCCGGACCGAGGAGAAGAAGGTGCCGCGGAGAGTGAACGGAGAAGGGGGCAGCGGTGGGAACAGCAGGCAGCTGCCGCCGCCAGCGGTACTTTCGTCTCAGAGCTGTGGCAGCCCTGCGTGCTGGAGCTTCGCCCCTCTGTCTGCTGCCCCCTCCCCGTCTTCCTCTTCCCGTAGCAGCGTTTCTTTCTCCGCTGGCCCGGCCGCCCCTTCCTCAGCCTCCGCTTCCTCGTCTCAGCCGCTGCCGCGCAAAATGCTGGTCCCTCCTACGCTGCTGCACGCTCAGCCCCACCACCTCCTGCTGCCGGCCGCCGCCTCCTCGGCTGCCGCCAAGCCGCGCAGACCCAAGGAGAAGAGGGAGAAGGAGAGGCGGAGGCACGGCCTCGGCGGGGCGGGCGAGGCCGTCGGGGCCGCCCGCGAGGAGAACGGGGAGGTGAAGGCGCTGCCGCGAGGTGGGTGCCGGCGCCGGAGGGGGAGGGGAGGGCGCCCGCGGGGCCCGGGAAAGGGGAGCGTGGGGGCCACGGGCGCCAGCCTGGAGGGGCGGGAGATGTCCCGTTCTCGGCGGGCGAGGTTGCAGTCCCTGTGGGGACAGGAAATGGTGCCTGTAATTTCGCTCGCCGAGCCAGTGGGGAATGGCCGCAACTCTTATTATTTTCTGTATCTTTTCTGTCTCGCGGCAAAGGTGCTGCAGGAATGGTAGAATTCCGTCTGGAGAATTCGCCTAGGTGCGTTTGACTAGAGAGAGATGGGAGACCGGCATGGGGAAGCAGTTGGTCTTGTAAGAGATGCTCAGCGATTAGGCCATTTAGATGTGATCACGGGAATTCATATTTGTGCCACTGCCTGCAACCCCAGAAAATCCTGTCAAAAAAGGGGTGTGGAGCGCATTGGCGTCAGCTGGAAGCTACGAGAGGCCTGAGCTTTTCATCCCTATTAGGGAAATGAGGTAGAGTGGCGGGCCCCGAGCGTGCTGTTTCCTAAGGTAGTCTCCCTCCGCTCCTAGTAGTCTAGAGTGTTTTGAGTGATCCTCCTGGAAACACACCCTTTAGGAAGAATTTTCAGCCATATTATTTTTTCTGCAGCAAGTGATAAAATCAGGAACATTGACATATTTTGGCCAGATCAAGTAGCTGAAAAATGTTTCAGTATCAGAGAAAGGCAAATTTGTAAGCTTTCTAACCAGACTGGGATGTTTTCTTTTCCAGTGTAGGTTAGTCGTATAGTTTTCAGAGTCTTTTTTTTCCCAAAGGTGGGCTCACTACCCAGTGATCTGATAGATTTCAACATGGAGACTGGTTGAAAATGAGATCTTTATGTGACCAAAGCTTAAAGGTCATAATCTTTATATTTCTGCTTCATTTTGTTAAATGCTGTTTTATAGGAAAAAATGAAATATTAAGCGGTCCTAGCACTGCTGATCCCAAGGTAATTTTGATCATAAAATATCTCTGTTTGAATTGAAATGGCTTATTTTTCTTTTACTTTTTTTTTTTTTAAACGCACTGGCCTGTGTATCAAGTGTTATTTCTTCCACGGTGTTTTGTTTGCAGTAAAGCTTTGGCATCTAAGTGTAGCCACTGTGTCCAACTATGGTCTCTCAACCCTGGCGAGTTGTTTCTAGAAAAATGGTCTTCAGGATGGAACTTTACTCGGGAATTTGAGGTGGTTAGTGTTTAAAGCTATTTCGTTTTAATGGCTGCACGTTAACTGCCCTCCAGTTGGTTCCGACTCATAGTGACCGTGTACGGTTTGGGAGACTGTACTGTATAGGGTTTCCGAGGCTGTAAATGTTGACAGGAGCAGAAAGCCTCATCTTTCTCCCGCGGAACGGCTGGTAGTTTCGAACTAACGACCTTGAGGTTAGCAGTCCCACTCATAACCACTACACTACTTATCCAACATATACACTTTAAAAGTGATGTTGGTAAGTGCTGTGCAGTCGTTCTGATTCATTGTTGTTGCTGTTAAGTGCCATCGAATCGGTTCCCACCCATAGCAACCCTGTATAGGGTTTACAAGGAGCAGTTGGTGAGCTTGAGCGCCAACCTTACGGTTCAAACTGATTTTGCAGTCTAGTGCATTAACCCACAGCGTCACACTAGTGACCCTGTATAGGGTTCCCAAGAAGCGACTGGTGGCTTTGAACTACCATCACTGTGTTTAGCAGTCCAGATCCTACAGCTCCACATGAGGACTCTATTTGAAAGTGAAATGTGCCGTAGGCTAGTCTGTCCAGATTCTTAGTATCAGCCTTGTTCTTTGTGGTGTGTAAACATCGTGTTTGCACTTCCTAAGTTCTTTGAGGATATAAAATTGTTTTTGAAACCAGACAGTATTGCTCTGATGCGAGATAAATAAATAAGCATCTATTTTTTTTAAATTCCTGACTTAAAATGTGGGGTACACAAATGACCTTGCCCTCTAAGTGAAAGAGCTGTTAGAGAAATTTTTATAATCGTTTTTGCTTTTTAATTTTTTATTGTGAATTGAATGAAGGTTTACAGAGTAAATCATCAGTTTTCCATTCAACAAATCATATACTTTGCCTCATTCTGTGGTTGCAATCCCCTTATGTACCAACAGTTAACAGTATTTACCTCTATTCACTTTAACTATGACATTTCTCCATGTCTTCCACTACCTTTCCCTTTCCTCTGCTCACTTCCCTCTTGTTGCATATTGCCTGCCCTGTCACCGATGTTAACGTGTCGATCCTCTAGCCTTCCTAGTGTGGCACTGTAGGTTGAACACTAGAGTTTGAACCATAAGGTCGGCAGTTCAGGGTCACTATGAATTGGAGACGACTCCATGGTACTCAACAACAGCAGCCCTCTAGCCTGGACTTCTGGAACTGGAAGATAAAGTGCAAACCACAAAGTCAGTGGTTCAAACCTATCAAGTGAAACACGATACAGGGTGGCTGTGAATCAGAATCGACTCAAGGACAATTAACAGCAACAGATATTAGCACGCGATTTTCATTTTTCTAACGTTATTTTATTGAAGAAAGGGATGGATTTTCATTGGCTTAATGGTAGTCTTTATAGTGAAAACCTTAAATTTGAGAAATATGCATATCTAAAAGTTCAGATTGAATTGAAAATCTGTTGTAATCACTAAAGATTTTTCACACCTTTGTTGTTAGGTGCAGTTGACTCGGTCTCTTAGCTATGACCTTATGTACTGCCTGGCCCTTCACAGACCTCACAATCCTTGATATGGTAAAACCATTGCTGCTGCCACTGTTGCCAGTCCATCATCTTTCTCTTTTTTGCAGACCTTCAACTTTACCAAGCCTGATGCCCTTCTCAGGGCCTGGTCCCTCCTGATAATATATCTGAAGCATGAGAGGCAAATTGCAATAGAATAGTATTATGCATGTTGATTATATATAGATAAACTTGCAAATATGAAAGTACTGATTTATACTATGAAAGCACAGTGGCTCCATACAATAATCGCTGTACTGTAAACCACAAGGTCTGCAGTTTGAGCCTGTCAGCAGCTCCATGGGAGAAAGATGAGGCTTTCTGCTCCAGTAAAAATTTAAAAGCCTTGGAAACCCTCTATAGAACCGATATGAGTCAGTACCGACTCCACAGCTCTTAACAACAAACAGCAATTTATAATACAGTTCTCATTTCTAAAGTCTTTTATTTATTTATTTATTTTAGAAATAATAGTGAGTGGGTGACCAAATACACCCACTTCTCACATATCTACACAGCTAGGTTCCAAAGACCAAGTTGTTATGTGGAAACCAATGTCATTGGAAAATGGAGGGTGAAGACATCAGATCACAAAAATGGAGGATGGCTTCATTACGTAACTGCCAAACCACTGAGAATCATGACCTAGCCAAAATGACATAACCTTAACCATCACAGCCAGAGTTACTCTCACCTTTGACTCAGCTGTCTTCAGGTTGGCTGTTCATAGGATAGTCCAAGAATCTGTGTTATCCACTATTCATTAACTGAGCAATCTGTCATAACTGGAAATTAGCTATAAAAGCACCTAACCAAGGAAAAAGATCCTCCTTTCCTCAAAACAAGCAAACAAACAAACAAACAGAATAACACCCTAAAGACACGTTTCCCCAACTTGAGTTTTTAAGTGGTACTGTATTTATTTGTTGATGGTGCTTATGTACTGTTGAGTTGGCGCCAACTCATATTGACCCTACGCAGGGTTTCTGAGGCTGTAAGTTGTTATGGGAGCAGAAAGCCTTATCTTTCTCCTGTGGAGTGGCTGATAGATTGAAACTGCTGACCCTGCAGTTAACCTACTACCTACCAGGGCTCCCTGTATTTATCTATTTTGTTTGTTGTTTGTTAAGTGCCGTCGAGTCGGTTCCGACCCATAGCGACCCTGTACAGGGTTTCCGAGGGTGTAAATGTTTACGGGAGTAGAAAGCCTCATCTTTCTCCCGCGGAGCGGCTGGTAGTTTCGAACCGCTGACCTTAAGGTTCGCAGCCCGATTCGTAACCACTACGCTAGTTGGTTTAAAAAAGTTTTTTTGAAGACTTTAGTCACAACTTTTATTTTCACATTGTTGTTGTTAAGTGCCGTTGAGTCGGTTCTGACCCATAGTGACCCTCTATAGGGTTTCCGAGGGGCAGCTGGTGAGCTTGAACCGCCGACCTTGCAGTTCAAACAGCTTTGCAGTCTGGCACATTAACCCACAGTGCCAGACTAGGAGTCTGGGAGCAGTGAGATTATGTATATGAAAGAGCTTGTCAGGACATTTAGTACAGTGTGGTTACGAATCGGGCTGTAAACCGCAAGGTCAGCAGTTCGAAACTACCAGCTGCTCCGCGGGAGAAAGATGAGGCTTTCTACTCCCATAAAGATTTACACCCTCGGAAACCCTGTACAGGGTCGCTATGAGTCGGTTCCGACTCCACGGCACATAACAACAACAACAACAACAGTGTTATAAGATAAGCATTGAACTGCTAGCTGCAAGGTATGCTATTCAAACCTACCAGTTGCTCCTTGGAAACCTTGTACAGGGTTGTTGTGAGTTGGAACGAACTCAATGGCACTTAACGTTTGCTTTTTTTTTCTCTTCTTAACCCCATAGCAAATTAAGAGATGAGTTAATCCTGATAGAGGAAAGGTTACTGACAGTAGATTTGAAATTTAAGTGATGAATTAAAAAAGCATAGCAGTCTGGGCCCATTTAGTGTAAGGACTGATGCTTTACACTCTTAGAACCTCTGAGGTCATCTTGTTCAGTGTTGTTGAATCGGTTCCGACTCATAGGCATCCTATGTAGGGTTTCAGGGAAGTAAAGTGGCTCCGTACAGGATAAGCAATAGCATGAACCCCAAGGTCAGTGGTTTGAGTTCTTTCTGCTCCTACAAGGATTTAAAGCCTCAGAAACCCTATGCAAAGTCGCAATGTCTGAGACTCAAAGATGCTTAACAATGACAACAACAACATAAGA